CATCTGACTTTGTGAATAAGATGTTTTTCACTGGCAGACACGATTTCTCATGTTTGGATCGTCTAAAACACAAAAACCCAATTTATTCTTAAAAAGTACATGAAAAAATTTTGATAAATAAAAAAGTAATAACTGTCTCTTTTTTAATTTTCCCTATGATTTTTTTTTTTACATAAATTTTGTTATAACATTGTCAATTAATTATAAAAAAAAATATGAATCTTGTATGGATGCTAGCCATTTAACATTTAAAAAATTAAGAAAATCGGTTGAGTAGTTCAAATGGAGTCACGTTCATAAACGTTTGTTTAGAGAAAAACGCGTTTACTTACTCGGCTATTACACGAAGCAAGTTTTGTTGCTGATTCTCGGGCGATTCTCTTTTGCTGTTGCCAATTGCATTCACACGAGCAACTTGTGTTGCGCAAGTCTGTTCGAGTTTTTTTCTCATTCTCTTTCACTTTACTTTAACCCATTGTCGTTTCTTTTTCCTTATAGGTATTTGGGCCACTCTATCACATATATTAATCAGTTCTGTCAATTAAGAATACATTTTATTTATAATTCAAAATTAAAACAAAGGTTATATAACAGATCTTCACCATCGTCTTAGTCAATTTGTATGGCTTCCTCCATACATTTCACAATATCTTTAATTAATTCGATTTTTTCGTCATACTCCATTTTCTAAAATATTTATATTATATTATGTATATTTGTACACATATTTTCAAATTACGTACCAAAAATGAAATTAAATTTTTTGAATATATTCAAAATATTAATTTCAAAATACTATACGCAAATGCAACTATGTACTACGAAAGAAAGAACACGAATGCAGAAAAACGTCGCAGCGAACTGTAACGAATAAGAACACAAAGCGAGTTGCTGAACACTGGAAACTCGGCGCGATTCTCCTCTCCTCGTCGCCCCCTCGCCTATAAACCAAGAGTTGCCGCAACAAAAGTTGCTTTGTGTAATAAGGAACTTAGCAATCTTCTTAGCTTTGCCACATCTTAAAAGCCAAATATGAGGGATTTTTAACTACAATGTTTTTGTTTGTTTGTACTTTCATGTGTTTTTTTATTTTTATTAACAAAAAAATCTTTCCCACATTTTTCAAGCTATAACTCAAGTACTTTTGCGTAGTACTCCTTTCTTCGTTGGCGGCTTTCGTAAGCGCTCTAAAAAATAACCCTGACTGGTGACTGTATCACATGTCTTGATGTCCACTACGAGTATAAAAGCAAATTTTTAAAATATAGATTTCTTACTTATAAAGCCTACAAAAAGTGTAAAATGTGAATTTGTTGTAAGTGTTTACCGTTTAATTAATTCGACCAAAGTGATATATATTTGTTTATTTTAAAGATTAGAAATAAGAAAAAACTTTTTCGACTACCAATGTAATAAGCACTTTTTATCCATATAACAACTGTAGACGTATATTGGCGGTGTTTAATTCAAGTTCGGGCGTTAATTACAAAATATTTAATCGTTATGATTAGCTGTCCTCCGTTTATCCTTTATTTATACAGTTTGGAAAAACCGTGCAAGAAAAGTATATGTTGTATTTACAAAAGCTTCTTTAGTCCTCAAAAATGCGTCAATACGTGAGGAAAGAAACGATTTTGGTAAACAATTAATTTTTGTCTTGATTGCTCATTTGACTGATTTCTACTAAATTTAGTACGTGGTATTCTTCATATACTAGTATAAAAATCAAGAAGCAATTAAACTGACTTGCACTACTTTAATCTTGAATGGTTCACTGGATCCTTTTTCGAGAGGTTAAGCCCTTATTCTTGGGCAATGCCCGTTACTTTTCCGTGTGCTGATCTGTGGAAGCTGCTGTATACTGACATTACTTGGACTGGTAATTGTGTTATCCTGGTTTTAATACGGACTTCGGTTTCGGAATCTCGTTTCTAAGAATTCTCCGCGCACTTTTACAYAGTGTATTTCGGAATTTCGTTTCTATAGTTTTAAAGATTGACCGGGCACTTTTACCATACATTATGTATTTCGGAATAACTCGTATAACTTTAAGGATTTGACCGAGAGTGTCCTTTTTGCACAAATTCATTTTAAATGTTACACTGTAGTTCACTTCACTCGAGCTCKGGCACGAATTATCACGACGGTGTTAGAGTTTTACATACCTGTGAGTTATGCAAAATTCTAAACAATTTTAACATCAATTGAAAGGGAAAAGTTTATCACATTTCCCTGGCTATGTTTATTAATAAAAATATTTTAATTTGGGTGTAAGATATATTTATTCACAAAGTTGTGTTATATATGAAATTTGATGGGAGCAGTAAAATAGTAGTAAAGTAATAAATTTTTTTTTAARCTGAAGGATTTTTGGAAGTTCCGTCTATACGAGATATTAGTACTTGGTAGCATGGCCATGATTTTTTATAACAGCAATACAACGCCTCTTCATAGAATCCACGAGACTCTGGCATTTTTTTAGTGGTATGTTCTGCCATGCCTGCTGCACTACGGTCCACAACTCATTGTTGTTTTTGGGTTTGTCATTCCATACGGCTTTCTTAACGTCTGCCCAAAGGTTTTCAATGGGATTGAGGTCAGGGGATTGAGCTGGTCAATCCAAGACCTCAATTCCATTGACCCGAAACCATTCCTTTGCCACCCTACTGGTATGTTTCGGGTCATTGTCCTGCTGAAATATCCATTTCAGCGGCATGTCCTCTTCAGCAAATGGCATCATTGTGTCAGTAATTTTGTAAATTGGGCCTACGCCTCTATAAGAAAAACAGCCCCAAGCCATGATACTCGAACCGCCATGCTTCAAAGTTTTTGTGGTAAACCTGGGGTCGTACTCTGTATTAGGGGGGCTTCTTACATACTGACGGGACCCTTTACGGCCGTATAAAACCACTTTCGACTCGTCAGTCCACAATATGTTGCGTCACTTCTCAATCGGCAAAGGTAAGTGTTCTTTGGCGAATTTCAGACGTCGAGCTACATGATTTTAGTAGCAGCACTTTTCGAGGACGGGCAAATAAATTATGTTCACGTAAAAGTCTTCTTACTGTATGAACACCGCAGGGCAAGTTCAGTTCGTTCCGAACCTCCACAGTCGACATTGTAGGCCGAGTCTTACACATCTTACAACTTTACGTACAGAATACAAAAAAATCCGCCTTGCGCCCCTTTTTTGATCTTTTATTTTTTTTTTTTATAAATAATTGCTTTGCGATTCATTGTGGCTAAACACCCTACCATACTTTCTACTTCTGTGTATGTTTCACCACTGTTTATGAGAGATTGAATCCATTTTCGTTTCTCTTCACTGCAGTGCTTCTCGCGGCATGGATAATATGATACGAAACTCTTTGATTGAAAAATATTATTAATAAATTATACAAAACACTAAATTAAACACTTTGAAAATGCATACATATATAAATGCTAAAATGCTAAATCATTAATTAATTTACATAAATATTTATTTCGCCAAAATATGTTCGCACAGTTCAATGAAATTTCATTTCACGCTAATTTTGTCAGGTAATTATAGCGGTTTACTTCTGGCATCCCGCCTTTTCTGAAATCAATTGTCAGAAATTCCCTGACCTTCATCGCTATCAAATAATCAGGGAACGGGTTTGAGAGAAAAAGAGAGCCAATGCTCGAAACGAAACTTTTCGTATCATGTTATCCATGCTCGCGGCCCACTAAAATATGCACAGTCATATTTTTTTAGCTTTTTCCAATGGATAAYAAATAAAATAACAAGAAACTTTCTTCTTGATTGATAAAATTAAATATTTTTTAGTAAAAGTAATCTCTKTCCAATCATCATAAAAACAGATATCACAATATAATTAGCTGTAAAAAAGTGACGGCAAGTGTTTCGCACTTATTGTTGTGTATAACAGGACCGTTAGAGTACAGAGAATATAACTAGAATAATAATCAACTTCAATACCATAAATGAAACAAAATTTTAAGCGAAACTATTTTTGTCAATAGCCACTACTATTTCAATGCTCGCAACTGTATATATCTTACTGAACTTCTTAATAATACTTATACAAAAATATAGCTATCAGAGAGCTGCAACGAGTATGATAAGCTCAGAACAAACAATCGTGCCAAAAACACAATCAATTCAGTTCAGCATAGGCAACATTTTTTATCAATTCGAGTAGCCGCCAGCGTCAACTAATCTGATGCAATACGAACAATCTGTTCCTCGGCTATCACGATCGTGTAAATGGTATGGCTGGCTTCGGTTCCAATCGTATCATGATAGTTTATAGCGTTGCGAGGATTGTTTGCATTGATGTGAAACTTTGGGTAAACTATAAGTAAATCTACGAGTAAATCTTTGGGTAAATCTGTAAGTACAGCAAACAACAACAATTTTCTGCTGGACTGAATGCTGGACACATGATTGAATGTATGGCAAAAAATGTATCAGCTTTGAAAATGTGCGCATGTTACAAATTGTCGATGCCTAAACAATGGAAATTCCATTGAGTACGTACATACATTTCTTTTATGTATGTACTTGTTGGATTTTCTATTATACATAATTATATGTCGATCATTTCAATCATTGAAGCGTGAGTTTGTATCACTTCGGGTATTTACTGCTGATGCGAACGTTCACAAACAAATCAGGTATAAGCTAGTGATTCAAATTTGTTATTTATCGCTGATTTGATAACAAACGGTGCGCTACGTGTACGTGAACTGAAGTGATAGAATCAGACAGAGTGACGGATCAGTATAAACAAAAATGTATTGCTCGTTGCAGTTTTCTGATAGTTATGTACATATATTGTTGCGCGTTGGCTAATTGTCGACTCTTGTCACCCACGCTCATGTTTTTTCGAACATCGTTACTAAAATTGAAGCATACTACAGTTTTATTATAAAATAATGGAAGACATGACTGGAGAAAATAATGTGCACTTAATTTTTTTATTACAGCATGCGACAAAGACAACTTTATTTTCCTAAAAACTCAGATATGTAATGAAACTTCTGTGCCAAATGACTTAGTACAAATATCAGTTGACAAAAATGAGATTAAAAAGCGTATTACATGTTACCTCCAAAAAAAACGTGATGAGATTAATCAAAACAACATTATTGACTATAGAAGTATGCCTAACTATGCAAAATTAGACGATGGAACTCATCCCAATTTTCCGGTAGAAAATTTATGTGCGCGAGTAAATACTACCGTTGTAAAGCAAGATAGTTCAAAATGTCTTTTAAAAGGTAAGTACATTCAGTATTAGTACTGACATTATTATTATTATCTTGTTACTTTATAATAAAGCTCAAGAACTCAGTTAATTAATTTTTTGGTACCGGATGGGCCGAATTCCTAAAGTAATTGTGATGGATAAAGACTTATATAATACATACATATRTATATACTTAAATAATTATGAAGGCCAGACGAGTTCAATTTCAATTGACTGTTCCGTCCGTCTGTTCGTGCAAGTTGTAACTTGAGTACAAAAATTGTGGAATTTTGTATATTTGTTTCTTGAGACCATGAGAAGGTTGCTTTTGTATTCTTATTCGAGTCATTGCCATGTCTACAAAATGATATTAATCGAAAACATAAAATGCCACAACTGAAGATACAAAACTGTAATGCATCACAGTAGCAGGAAACATCTGTGATTTTCTAATTTTGGGTGGTATTGCCTCCATTTAATTTATAGCGGGATTTTGTAACCAGTCTCTATTTGAGACATTTTGAGACGTAAAGTCTTAATTTGTGACTAGTTACTATTCACTAAAGGTTAGTCTCAAAATATTGACTCAAATTTGAGAACTAATAACTAAGAGGTCACAAAACTAAAAAAAACTCCTGTCTGCAATTTTGAATATACTGAATAGAGATCATCATAAATATTAATCGATTGTCGTTTTTATATTTTGTAAGCAACTCAAACAATAATCAAACAAAATAAATTTTATATAAATTTCGTAAATATTATGAAACAAAGTCAAGATATATTTTTATTTAATATTTGTTATCGACATATTTATTTTTCCTTCATGTGTAAAAACATCTCTGAATAATGAAATGTAATAGATTTTTTGACAGTGACTTACAGAATAGCAAAATCGTCTCGAGTCTCAAAAATTGTCTCTAACTTAAAATCTCAAATTTAGAGATTTGAGGCTGTATCACAGTACAGAATCACACGTTTAATGTATATGTAGCGATTAACATCTCTCCAAATTGTAACAGATCCACTTACTAACTATTACTAATATTGTAACTACTGAACTACTTTCATCTGGTAACATTGTATTCAGCAAACTAAAATATTTAATCCCGTTACAATATTGATCACCTCATATTAGCTTCTCTAATTCGTTCTATTCCTTTTGATCATCGGACGAGACCACACGTGTTCTTTCGCGCTCAACATAAAACATTTATATTCGTATTAATAATATATTTGTAAGTCGGATTTACTTGTAAGTAAATTAATATAATAAAATTAAGTAGCTGGTTAAATAGTGTTTTACTTAATGACACCTTTAACCGCCACATATACATCCCACAAACTACTACAGTTGCAAGTGAAATAAACCAATGACTAAATATGTCAGACACAATAAACTTTACATCAAGTATGGTACAAAAAACCTTTATAGGAGCCATTACTAATAAAAATATAGCTAATTTCTGGTTTGTAATTTTAAGTAAAAGCCTCGATAATGAAAATCTGCCAGTGGCTTAAAGAACGTGATGTTTTTAGTTCTCTACCAACTCTTTTGAATGGATGCTGATAATGTGACATACAAATATATCTCTATATAGTATTATAATTCTCAGATATATACTAATTAACGAAGATATATACAAGTTAACAATAGTTAACTGAAACAATATTGTGGAACGTMAAAATTGCAATACATGCAGTCTAACCGTGCGATTCTGTACTGTGATACAGTATCAAGTCTCTAAATTTCAGATTTTAAGTTAGAGACAATTTTTGAGACTTGAGACGATTTTGCTATTGATGTAAATGATTTGTTTATACTTGAATGTAAATAAATATATCGATAACAAAATTTAAATTTTCTATAACWTAGCCAAAAAACATAATTATAAACAAAATATAAAAATATATGTTGACTTTGTTTCACAACATTAACGAAATTTATGTAAAATTGATTTATTTTTAAACTTTTCGTGTTTAAATTGCTTACGAAATATAAAAAACGACAATCGATTAATATCTATGACTATCTCTATTCAGTATATTTAAAATGGCAGACAAGAGTTCTTTTTGGTTTTGTAACCTGCTAACTACCAGGTCTCAAATTTGAGGCAATATTTTGAGACTAAAGCTAGAGACTGTTTATAATAACACTAAAAATTACAAACGGTTTTGATTTTTCACAGAAAAAATATGTTTTTTGCCCACTGAGAACCATGACCACACATGACAATTTTAAATCCTAAGTGAACGCTGCAAAATATTACCAAGTTATTTTCACAATTCGCAACAGAAGCAGGAGATCTTCTTCTTCTTTACTGGCGTAGGCACCGCTTACGAAATTATAGTGCGTCATTCGTTGCTTCTTTTCGCTGCGTCGCGCCAAGTTGATATTCCAAGCGAAGGCAGGTTCGTCTCCACCTGGTCCTTCCAACGGAAAGGAGGTCTTCATCTACTTCCTCGGCGGGTAAAGCGTCAGAGCTGTAGTGTTTTCGTCCATTCGGACAACAGGACATAGAAAGCGTAGCCGCTGTCTTTTAATTCGCTGAACTATGTCAATGTTGTCATATATCTCATACAGCGCATCGTTCCATCGAATGCGATATTCGCCGTGGCCAACACGCAAAAGACCATAAATCTTTCGCAGACCTTTTCTCTCGACTCATCAGTTGTTGTCATCGTCCAAGCCTCTGCACCATATAGCAGGGCGGGAAATATGAGTGACTTATAGAGTTTAGCTTTTGTTCGTCGAAAGCGTACTTTGCTTCTCAATTGCCTACTCAGTCCGAAGTAGCACCTGTTGGCAAGAGTGACATTGTTGGTAGTGTTTATGCTGGTTCCAAGATAGACGAAATTATCAACGACTTCAAAGTTATGACTCAACAGTGACGTGGGAGCCTATTAGCGAGTGCGACGGCTGGTTGTGTGATGACAGAAGATATTTCGTTTTGCCCTCGTTCGCCACCAGACTAATTTCCGAAATTTTACGCATGGTGAATATCTCGTCTTGTGTTGATTTCTCAGACTTAAAGCAACACTGAAAAGGTCTAATCAGTTTGTTGACATTAGGCTTTAATTTTTCATACAATRCGCTCGATAGATAGAACATATTTAAATTCCAATCGTTGGGCATGCTTTCGTCCAACCATCTTTTACAAAGAAGCTTATGCATGCTCCTTATCAGTTCTTTGTCGCCGTGTTTGAGTAGTTCGTCCGACAAACCATCGGCTCCCGCTGCTTTATTTTTAGACGGGTAATTGCTATTCTTACTTTTTCATGGTCGGACAATGTAACGTCTGCTACGTCGTCATCGATTGGGGAATCGGGTTCGCTTTCTTCTGGCGTTATGCATTAACTGCCATTCAGCAGACTGGAGAAGTTTTCYCTCCATATTTTAAGTATGCTTTGGTAATCGGTTACTACATCACCTCTGGGGGTTATACAAGACCATTTCGAGCTTTACCCCTGTCGGTCAGCTTGACAAGCTCTTCATATWCCCCCATTTCGGCCTCTTTCTTTTTCTGTCTGCAAAGGCGTCTGGCTTCCATCTTCAACTCTCAGTATCTATCCCATACCGCACGTGTTGTGGTCGATCGTAACGTTGCGAGGTAGAGAGTCTGTTTTCTCTCTGCTGCAACACGGCTCTCCTCGCACTACCAGCTGTTCTTTTGTACTTTCCGAAAACCAATGGTTTTGGTTGCGGCTGTACGTAAAGAGTTTGAAGTGCCGTCCCACAGTTCCCTTATACCGAGTTGTTGACCAGTGCTCTCAGAGAGCAGGAGTGCAAGCCGGGTAGAAAATCGTTCGATGGTCTGTTGTGATTGCAGCTTCTCGACGTCGAACCTTCCTTGTGTTTGATGGCATGCGTTTTTTGCGCACAGAGGCGGGTGCGAATCTGGGTTGCTACAAGGTAGTGGTCCGAGTCGATGTTAGAACCTCGCCACGTACTCACGTCTAAGACAGAGGATTCGTGTATTCCGTCCATCACAACCTGATCAATGAAATTTGTGCTGTGTCGCATAAAAATATTCCTTACCTTCAATGTCCATAATTTTTTCAGCAGCTTCATCAAATAAAGCGTCAATTTCCCTAAAACTGTTTTTTGGCATATTTTCCAATTTTGGCAAGGGTTGCACAGAAACCACAAAAAAGACGTTGATTGTTGATGGTAAATATTTTCTATTGCATAATTTTGCAAACTCAGATTCACAAGATTCTGAATTGCCCTTATGTTTTATTACGACGAAAATGGATTCAGAAATATATATTGAGATGTTGGATGATGTGCTTATTGAGTATTTGGAGGATAAGATCGAAATTACGTTTACCTTTCAGCAGAACAATGTCAGCATCCACGTTTCCAAGAAGGCAAAAGGGTTTTTTTCTTCGCGTTCTCTACAGTTGCTAGGATGGCCAGCCAGAAGTCCGGATTTAAACCCCATTGAAAATGTTTGGGGCATAATTACAAGGGCTGTGTATGCGAATGGGCGCCAGTACTTAGCCGCGCAGGAGCTAAAAACACCAATTTTGCTGGCGTGGATGAATCTGGACAGAGATATACTGTAAAAGAGAATCGACCATACCAATTGAATTGACCGATACCAGCCAGAATTTTTGGTTCATCTAACGGTTGTTTGTATCACTTAAATCTAACCGAGACTGATATGGAGTTATATATAAGTTAAGCCGCAATAATTTATCAGGAGTATTACACTTAACAGCATCGTCAACTCTTGCATTTATCTGTTCATTGCTTTGAGAGAGATATATCTGTAAGTGAAAGTGCAATGGTCACCCACATGATTCGATCAGCAAAAAAGAAAAAAGCTCTCTGATGTATTCACGAACGATGTTTATTAGTACAACGCTTAACAACATCGCCAACTTGTGAGATGCACTAAGCCTGTAGATTGGTGTGAGAACGATCTCTCCATATAACAATAATGTTTAACAGCGGAGAGAGAAAAAGCGGTAGAAGAACACTTATTAGAATAACATTTAACACGTAACCCGTATCGTGGTGTCTAAATGGATCCCACTACCTATAAATACTGCTCTAGTATTAAGCCGAAGACTGAAAGTTATAAAAAATATAGAATGAAGACTTTATAATGAACGGAATAAATATTTGATTTCTGTTAAAAAGGTGATTATTTAAAAATCCGTAGATTTGCAAAATCTAAATTAAATAGTTTGTAAAAACATTCRATTTATATGCTTTTTTCTCAATGTAATTTGAAATATTACACCAGTTAAGGGCTAAACAATAACCGTTTAACTTCCCTATATCCAATCACCATAATCCACAAAAACAAACATCGAGTTAGAGAGGCTTCGAGTGATGGAAGGAAATTTTTATGAAATTTAACTTCTACTAACGTTTGTCTCTCCTTCCGTGCAAGCGATAACTTGATTAAAAACTAAAAGATCTTAATGCAATTTAGTACACGTGTTCTTATCTATCCTTTCAAGGAGCGACTCGCACAACAACAAGAAAATATGTTTACTTCGACTGAATCGTAGCTATACCTGAAAGGTATAAAAATGAATTTATATTGATTTTGATCGGACAGGTTTAGGGAATAGTTCACGTAATGCGGTTTTCGACGTTTGCTTTAGGGTGTTATAAACTTCGTAGCTAACCTAATATCCCTATTCAGGATATAAATACGTTAAACGAGGTACCGGATTGATGATTATTTAAAAGAGATCAAAATGTTTTCAAAAGACATCTCTTCAAATCGAATATATGATGTAAACGTTTTTACTATCATTTGATTACTTTTTCACAAAAAGATGTTACTTGTTTTATCGACTAAACAATAGTTTTATTCTAGTTTGCAGAGTAAAAAACGCCTCAGGACCTCAAATACGGCCAAATTATTTCGATACTCTCGATAAACTAATGGCGAATAAAACATCGATTAAGTATGTCAATAAAGACAACGAAAATATTTCAGTTATTGGTAAAAGAAAAAGAATGGAACCTATTGAAAAACACTTGTTTCATAAAATAAATTATCACTTGCCTATGAATTTGCGACTGAAGCAAGCTGAAGATCGGATTTTGCGCTTGGAATCGTTATCCCCGGAGTATTGGCATTTTATCGTAAGTACCGTAGGCTAGTTTATTTGCAATAAGATTGTTGGATAGCCTTATTGAAATTCGCAAAGCAGTAAAATCACAGTATTTATTTTCACCGATTTATCTAATATTGTGTTTACTACCACTTATTAAAATTTCTGTACATACTTTATTACAACAATAAATTAGAGCGTAAACCATGTTATTTTAATAACAAACAAAGTAATAATAAATTGTGGAGGAAAGAAAATATAATGCATCCAAATTAAGTGAACATTTATCTTATTAATCCCAATGACAACCGTTATTTTATGTTAGTTGCATAAACCATTGCCGCAACGAAAGATAATACTTTTCAAACAATTATTTATGCTTGTAACAATTTTGAGCTTATGAGCCAAGCAATCGCCTGTCTTCACATATAACGATTTTTTTAATTAAATAAAGATTCGTTTGAGAATTAACTTTGCGTTACCACTGTTTTGAAATACCAAGTCAAATATCCCGGAAAATTGCGTAGAGAGACAATTTTTGAGACTTAATACGATTTTGCTATTCTGTAAGTGACAGTCATAAAATCTATTACATTTCATTATTCAGAGATGTTTTACAATTGAATTAAAATAAATATAGTAAAAAAATATACTTATCAATATAAATATATGTTGACTTTGTCTCATAATATTTACGAAATTTATGTAAAATTTATTTATTTTTAACCATTSCGTGTTTGAGTTGTTTACAAAATATAAAAGAAGACAATCGATTAATATCTATGATGATCTCTATTCAGTATATTCAAAATGGCAGCAAGTGTTCTTTTTAGTTTGTGACAGGGATAATGGGATGCCCAACTTATTCCAGTATGAGAGCGCCTCAAAATAAGCGTTTTTTTTATAACATTTTCCATTATGGCCAGATTGCACCAAATAAGAATTTTTGGACATTTTAAATTAACATTCCCAACATTTATTTCGATTGCAAATTATTATATATTGGACTTTTAATATATGGCGATACTACTTAATTCCTTTTTTATGATTTTATGGTATATTAAAACAACTGACTTTCGATATTTCAATACTTAATAAGGTGAATTAAGCCTGTTAGTTCTCAATTAATAAATAGAATATTAATTCTATTATGCATCAAATTACAAAACGTTTCATGATATATATTTAAATTTCGCATTTTCTTTGATTTTCAATGTCTTAAATTTTTATTAGCGATCTTGAACACGGCAATAAATTCCTCCGTTCACATATATTTTTGGTATAATTTCAATCTGGCCATTCCAGTCATTCCAATTGCAAAACGTCAAAACCTACTCAATCCAGTCAACTGTCAAAGTTCGGTAGGTTTTGACGGTTAGCAATTTCTTGAATAACATTACATTTTGCTTAATTTATTTCAAGCAATGGGAAGGTACAATTGTCAGGAGACTCCTGTTGACAAATATTTAATCCCAGATAATTTACATTTGGAAGTTATTTTGAAATTCGCTTAAAATTTTGCAACTTGAGAGTCCAATCGGACTTTGCCGTGTTTGTATGCTAAAGGTATTAAAATTTATAACTTACAACGGTTACTTATTACAGGATATTTGTATATTGTAATTATAGCATCTTTCTACATATGTATCAGAGAGCTGCAACGATCACAATTTTTTCAATCATAACCGATCATGGACTCGGATTTTATGTGACGGAAAACTTTGCTTCAACAAAAATGAATGATCTAAAGTGAGCGAGCTCAAAGCGAACAATCAGTTCCAATCACTGTTGCTTGTTTCGTAATGATTTTGTTCGATCGAATGCCTTGTGTGAGCAGCAAAGAATGTTTGAGAATGTTGCTTACATTCCGCTCGATCACAATCATCCCCTTTGGTCAAACCGCGTGGTTCGATAGGGAATATATCATTGCTCATTTTAAAATTATTATTTTAATTGGTATATAAAATTTATGCCACAATTATTATATGTATAGTAGTCCAAAAATATGAATTCTTATTTTTCCAAGAAATACATTTGAAAAAAAGGATCTTTATCCTTTTTTATTTTCAATATAAAGGATTTAAGGAGTTTAAGAGCTGAAAACGTACGCTACATACCTGCCCGGCGGCATTCCGCAAATGATAAAATCAATTTTTCACCTACCTACCCTACGCCTTTGCGCAAAAGATTATAATATATTATATTATGATAAAAATGCTAAGCGTTGAAAATGAAGAAATATATGCAGTAATGTTGTGGTTACTTTTATGCATCGCAACTTGTTTCTGTTAAAACACAAATATGTACATACAAACTATGCAGATACAATATATATGCCGGGAAATTTTCGATCTGATTGGTTCCATCACAATCAATTCAAACACACACTTGATCGATGTCTGAGTTTTCGTGCATCGTTGAACTCTATGGTCTTTTTCTGTACAATCATTTCCAATCATCATACCGTTTCTGTGCAATCACTTCCAATCATCATACCGGAACCAAAAAATCAGTTTGAATCAGTAAGCAGAGCACTCAAACCGATTGATCGGACTCCTTCATTTTAAGCACGAAACTCGATCGGAAAAATTTGTAACGAACCGTTGTGCTGAGTTGTGACCGGTTTGAGCGAGGCTGRTTAAACCGAATCGATCATACTCAATGCAGGTCTCTGATATGTATGTACATGAATATCATCACATTTTAGATTAATTAGATTATGTTAAAATCTTCTGTGGAGACAATTTCTTGAATGTCTGTGAGGTTTAGAGTATCAGAATAAAAGTTTCCTGCTTTAGCAAAATTAATGGTATTCGTGATTGCTTCTAATTCCTGGTAAACTTCTGTTAATAATCAATTAACCTTTATGTCAACAGAGAGTTTTTCAAACAGACAGCATACCCGAGTAACACCATACATTTTGTATGAAGATTAGTGTAGCGTAAGGTGAAAAGGAGGTTTTGTTCAGATTTCTGAACCGTTATAATTGTAAAGAAGATATTTTTGTAAGGATACAAATATCGTAGTTCAAATATTTATGTTCATTATCGCCGGCGCATACGAATCTAGTCTTAAACGTAGATATGTATTTA